TTATTCAAATGACCAATTTAGAAGAAGGGAAACAAATGAAGAATCATCCATATAATTGATATTGGATTTATGGTCATCCAATAGTTTAGAAGAAAGGAAATAGCTTAGTTGGTTTGATCTATGCAAAGAAAAATTAATAAAAAGAAAAAAGATCAATTAGGGAAAAAATGAGAACAATAACAAACTTGGGATGTTGGATTTAAAATAATTAAAAAAAAATCTTATTTGATTTATCTAAGAGAAACTAAGAACATGAATGGTCATTTATGCACTTAACTCTCCTAAAACACTAAGAGGAGAAACTAATAGAACTTGATTTGCCCAATTGATTTTTCACACACACACACATACATTTTATAATTCAAAATATAGGGAAGAAGCATTTCAATAATTAGGATCCAAATAAAAAGAATAAAATCACTAAGTAATCATTAATACTTCAGACTTAAGTCTCACAACAAATGTGAGGCTTAAATCTCGAGGCAAAATGTGTGTGTCCCACCTCAAGGCTTAAGCCTTTTAAAACAAAGATTCGAATCCATCCAAACCTATCTTAAAGCTCCAAGCTTGTGTCCTCTTCCACCAATATATTCAAGCTTTATAGATCCAAGATTGATGAAGACCTAGTTACAAAGGCATTCCATTCATGAGTAAGAGGGTACAGATAAAAGAGAAGTAACTTCTCTAAGTATTTTATGGAGCCTAAATTTATATGTACATATTTCAAGGTTGGAAAACTACCCGGTCCAATGTTATGAAACTGGATCTCTTGAAAGCAAAAGTCGTGTATACATCTTAAGAACATGATATTTAGTTGTACATTGGGAATATCTCCCCATGAATTCAACATACAGGTACAAGAGATATTCCCAATGCGCTACTAGATGCCATGCTCCCAAGATGTGTGCACAAGTTTTGCTTTCAAGAGATTTGGGCTCCAATGTTAACATTGTCTCTTACCAACAATTTTTGTCTTAGGATGGGTGTAATATTAGAAATTGTTAAGTGCGCATTAAGCCACTGAAGTATCTCACTTTGTTACCAAATCTGAAAAATGGATGAGTAATAACCACAAGCAAGAATTAAAATATTGATATGCCCAATACTCACAAGTGGGTATTGGAACTTATAAATATGAGTGATACTCCCACTTTTTTCTTGTTTTATTTTATAAAGATTATAAGGATAGGATCTATCATCCCAAAGCTTTAGAAGTTTCAAAAGATATATAAACTGGTGTACTACATCCGGGTGTATCATATTGATATTTTAATCATTTACTACAACCAAAGAACCAATAAAATACCAGCTATCAAATTCTAATTCGCTTTCCTTGCTACAAACAAGCAACAAATGCCAAGTTAGCCACCTTCCACTGGTTTATTCACCTATTCATCCTTCTTTTAGGAGTTTAAGCCAACAAGATGTTCTACATATGGCTTAAATGTGTTGAAGTAGGGGTGTTCATAATGTGAGTCAAACCGACCAAACCAGCTCGACCCAACCCAATTTGGTCAATTTTTCAAAATTACCAATTGGCTTCGGTTCTTGAAAGTAAATAAATCGATAGATCAAGTCGTTTTGGTTTTTAAGTGTAAAAACTGAAACTAATCAAACCAAACATGTAATGTAAAGTGTTTCCAACTTTTTATCCTTTGCTATTGCTCCTTAGTCCTTAGTCTTTTCCTATCTTAGCTAATTGCTTTAAGTAACAATAGTTAAATGGGGAATTGCTTGTCTTGGGTCTTGGGATTGCTATTTATTTTTTCTAATATTTCTTCACCCATCTTTTTTTACTTTGTTTTTCAAATTGAAAAACTTACATAGAAAAGGAAACATGGGATATAGGAAAAGCTAATTTTTATGTCATAGTTCGAGTCAATTTCAAAGTCTAATTGAAATAAGGCACACACTTTTATCTATTGCCTTTTTAGGATTGGCAAGATTAGAAAGAAAGATCCCTAAGTCTTAAACTTGCCAAATTTAGGAATTTTTTTTTGTCATGCATAGTTGCACGCACTAAGCCTCTTTTTTGGGTTTGAATCGCTTGGCAGATCTGAAATCTCTTAGATAGATTCCCCAAACTGATTGACTAAAACAACAAAGCAACCCACACTGACCCTTCATGCAAGTTTCAAAATATTGTTACATATTGGCCCGGTACGTACCATAATGGGGCCTTCCCGATACGCCCCTACAAGGGGTGTAGCCGGGACTTAAACCGACCCCTTTTTTTGTGTTTTATAAATTACAAAGGCCCCCCTGTACTATGGGGTCTGTAACAAAGACCCCCTGTACTTTGTTTTGCGACAAAGACCCCTTGTACTATGACCATGAGACAAAGACCACCCTTGACCGTTAAGTCAGATGGCAAAATGCGTTAAATTACCAAAATACCCCACTAAGCTTTTTCTTTTTTTTTTGCCGTTTTTCTCTTAAAACCTATTTAACCTATTGTTTTCCCTTTCTTCTCTTCTTTTCCCCTCCCTCACCGTCCTCTCTCATTCTTTCTCTCTCCCAACTCTCCGAAATGAAAGGACGGAAGAAACCCATTTCTCATCTTCCCTTTCTTCTCTTCTCCGTCTTCAATCCCGTCTCTATAGTCGTCGCCGACAATGCCACAATCATGGGAAATTGCAATGCTTGATAGCCCAACAACAGATGTCTACCATATCACCGAGAAGATCACCCAACTTCAAGCTCTTAGAAAGCTTAGCCTGCACGACAACGTTATCACAGGGGCGAGAGGGACTGTATCTAGGATCTGCTCCATTGCCTGGATTTCAGGGATCTTATCCCTGAGCTGAATTTCAATTCCCAACTTCAAGGTTGTTTGGCTATAGTATGGGGAGAGGGGTAGAGAGTTGGTATGGTTGCTTCACCGTTAGGATTGTACCAACATGCAAATACTACGACGTCATGAGGAGAGAGGCGGAGAGTTGAAAATACTACGGATTTTTGTGAAACAAATGTCTCTTTCTTTTGTTCCCTCTATAAATCTGACAGCGCGAGATACGGATTTCTGTAACTAGCTCACTGCCTCCGATTGACTTAGGGCAATTTTCCTGCAATCTGAGATAGAAACCGATGAGCGAAGATGTCGTTGAAGCAGGACTGTGGTCACCACCACCATCACAAGTGGAAGAAGCTATATTCCCGATGAGTATTCATCGTGATTTTCGTATTCGTCATTGTAATTCTATTCACCATCTTCCTTGTATGGGCGATCCTCCAACCCTCCAAGCACCAGTTCACACCGCAAGACGCTACGGTGTGCCAGTTTAACATCTCCGATGGGAACTCCTCACCTCAAACTTCCAGGTCATAGTCTCGTCGAGGAATCCCAACGACAAGATCGGGATCTACTACGACAGGCTTGATGTGTACGCGTACATTAATCAGTAGATCACCCTCCCAACTAGATTTCCGCCCACCTACCAGGGTCACAAAGACGTCAACGTCTGGCCTTCGTTCATCTACAGCATGTTTGTGTCGATTGCTCCTTACCTCACTGCCTCGTTTTCTCAAGAGCATAATTCCGGGGCCATCTTGATCAAAATCAAGATTAATGGAAAGCTCGAGTGGAAGGTGGGTACTTTTGGATCTCCAGAGGCTATCATTTCTACGTCAACTGTCCGACTTATATCACCTTTGGCAGTCGAAACACAGGGATTCCCGTTGGAACGGCCTTCAAGTACCAACTGGTACAATCCTATGGCGTCGATGTCTAAACTCTCAACTCTGAAGTCTGAAGTAAGCAATCGCCGTTAATAACTTAGTATTTTCAACTTTCCACCTCTCTTCTCATGACACCGTAATATTTGCCTGCTAGTACAATCCTGGCGGTGAAGTCGGCTCAGTATCGAATCGCCGTTTGGCTGTAGTATTTGCCTACTTGTACCAGCAGCCAATCACCGTTTGGATGTGGTCGGGATTAAATGGGTTCAATCCCAATACTGTAGTATTTTCAATTCCTATCTTCAAGGGTAGTATGGGGATTAAAAAAAATTGTAACAGCCTTTTTGGACGAAAAACTAACGGAAAGGGGTCTTTGTCTCACAATCATAGTACAAAAGGGGTCTTTGTCGCAAAACAAAGTATAGGGGGGGTCTTTGTAATTTACTCTTTATTTTTTTTCACCGATATAGGCCGATATGCCCTACCAACATATCAACCTATATCGATATTTAGAACCTTGTCTTCATGTTTGTGTCGGTTTGCCTTCATATTTGGTTTTGGTCTGCTGAATAAACAACCCGACCAGGTCGGATCGGTTGAACAAAATCCTTAAAGCCGACCCAACCAAACCCGTGAACACCACTACGCTGACCTGGTATGGGTAGAGTATCATTTTTTAATATGGGTAAAGTATCCCAACAATGCATTATCAGAATTTTTTTTCACTAATCCACATACAGCATTCATATTCTCTATGGCTGAGACTGATAAATTGGGACGTTACTTGCATCAATAGCAAACCTTTAGATAAGCCATTCAAAGAGGCTAAAGGCTGAAGCAGACAACCTTTCAAATGACCGACTGATTGCCCGTTTGGGCTCTCTCGATTTTTCACCAAAACATGGCTTATAGGCTCTGTGTAGCCCCGCCTCAGAGAGCTGGAAGCTGCTATGCTCACCCTTCCCAAACGGGCACATAACTTTTAAACAGCTGTTTGTGAATGCTACTCTACCGTTGGCCAATGGCTTTCAGCCTTAACGAGTTTTGAGGAATAGAAAGAAATGAAAGGTAATTTTTGGTGAGAATCACAGATTGGTTCCTCTTACGCAACCTTTTTTTGTAATCACATCTATTTCTTTGGCCAACACTCAGCTGATATTGAGCAGCTCAACTTAATTTTAGGCCCTCCCAGATAACGCCCAACTTGTAACCTGAAGTACGTAACGAGTTGTCAGCTGGTAGGAACTCTCCATAAAGCCATTATAGCTACCAAATCAATTTATATACACCAGACTCACAGAGCTATCAAAGATATGTTGCACTGAAAAAAATGTAGTATCCTCAAACTCCTCCAGATGGCACTTCTTGAAAGTCAACAACAAGTTATCTCATAGATGCAGTTAATTTCAGTCATTACTCATTAAATACTTCATTTACCATTCATTTTACGCTAAAAGAGAGTTTTTTCAAGCTGGAAGGTTGTCAAAAGACCAAAAACTTAAATTTCAGCCATATAGAAAAGAAAGTTCCAAAACCACACGAACTACCAAGAGAGATTGTAAACCAGTTGGAAGCATAAAATTTATTAATACTTCAGAGGTGGCTTTTGTGTTGGCAACAATCCAAAGCGCTTCTTCAGAAGAACTCTTTGCCTTGAGTACTTGTCATCAGGGGAGAAGCGAGCTGCAGTTAGAAAGTTAGGAAGCAAATGGTAAATAGAAAGGAAACTGTAAAGACATATTTGATCATTCATTTCAAATTGATAAAGAATTAATGAAGGACTGTATAAAAGGAACAAGATGGTATTGCCAATTTTGAACTTCTCAAACCCAATGTATGTTTCATGGTTGCTGACTTGCTTCAGAACACTTCTTAAAATAGATAATTCAGTTATCCTTATCCACTTGGTGATTTTATGTATTTACCAAGGATTGCACTAGCTTATAGTTCTTAAAACTAATTAGCCATCTAATGACACATTCACGCTCTTTTTTTTATAATTGACACATTCATGCTCTTGCATATCATGGAATGGCATCCTTCTTCCTGATTTTTGCAGTGGAAAAAGAAAGGACAAGGGAAAAAAGGTTGATGACTACAAGGCCCTGTTCATTTTCTATCCAGCCATACTTGGGTAAGTTAACACTCCCAGATGAGTTATACAATGACCCTTTTACCCATAAAAAGTCATGATTAGAATGGGCAAATTTATCCCATTACGTTTTGTCAATTTTCCCACCAGGTAGGAAAATTACTTTGCCCACCCAGGGAAAAGTACTTTACGGCAGGGCCCACAACTTACCAAAAAGTGGACACAATAAACTTGGTCAACAGGAACCACTTTGCCACTGAACAACTCCACCCAGGATTTTCCCAAAGATAAAAAGAACATGCCCTAAAAAATGGCAACTAAAAACTTAGGGAAGTCAGGAGATACCATTAAATGATTGAGAAGTTGAAAAGATCTCAATGTCAAATCCATGGTGGCTAAACAACAGTTACCAGAGGAGCATCTCTTATCCTCAGGCCTTTTAGTAGTCTCATCACAAAAGAATTCACCCTAAATCAAAGAACTAAGTGAAGCAGTAAATGTTCCCAACCCTCAGATAACCATAAAAAGTTACCTTCATAGAATCCTTTGTTTTTTTCTTCAAATCAAAGTATCAAACCACCCTGTTGCAGCACATCTGACAGGAATAGAACATGCCATGAGGAATATAATCTTTTCCACTCAGGGTTTTTGGTAGTCTCATCCCAACAGAATTCACTCTAAATCAAAGGAGTGGGTGTTCCAAACCTCTCATTAACCACAAAGGTTACCTTTGAAGAAATTTTCACAAATTTTCTTCAAATTCAAACCCACTCCACTGTTAGCAGCACATTTGACAGGAATAGAACAAGCCATTTTCTGGAACACATCCTTCATTACCTCATATGTATATTGTATGCTTATTTCATCATTCCCAGTATATTTTTTTTTGAATAAATAGCAAGTATGAAGCCCTGCCATGTTTGATCTTGCTTTATTTTACTTTAACACACACATACGCGTGCACACAAGCAGAGAGACAGAGAAAGAGAGAGAGAGAGAGAGAGAGAGCAAAAAATGAAAACACCAGAAAAGGATAACTTGTTGATGGATGAAAGAGGGCAATCATATCATATTTGACTAATTAAACCTTGACAACAATGTGGTAACATAAAGCAGAAGACCATACTATAGATCTCAGTATTATTATAAAGCAATGAGGATGCTTGCAATATCAGTGGATTTACAAGGATACGCCTTACAATAACAAAAGCAGAAAAGCCCAGGAATTTTCTAACTTTTGTATAATGGCATTGGCCAAAATATCAGTGGATCAACATGCACTGAGGCATGTTTAGTGGGAAGGCATTGGCCAAAATAAGTTACAATATCAATTTCAGAATTACAACCACTGAGGCATGAACATACAGATACATTTTGGTCCAAAATCAAAAGAACATTGTATGCACAAATCCCTAACAAAGATATCCAGAGATATTACCTGGATGAGCAGATTGTGTGGCCAGTCCAAGTGGTGATTCTTTCTGTGATCAGAACAGCAATTGAAGATCAATACGGAGAATTGCCATAAGATAATTTACAATTAGAACTTAGAAGGAAGAGTGAGAAACCAATACTGTCATTAATCTTTTTGGCAGATGGTGAATTGGTGATATGGTAATGGAGGGTAGTGATACATTACATTTTTTCTTTTTCTTTTTTTGTTTCTCTTCTTTTTCTCTATAACTAAGTTTAACTATGAGCCCTTCAAGGTTTTGTCTGTGAACTCTTTATCACAATTGTGGTGGTGGAAGTGGAACTATCAAGGTCACTCTTCCAAGTTCCAGCAGCATCACTAGGTATCTCAAAAAAAGCATAGTCTTCAGAGGATTTCTCTTCACTTGGACATTACTAGTTAATTTCTTTTAGACATTACTAGTTCATTGTGTATCTCCTTTCTACCCCTTTCTCATAGTACACTTTACACATCACCCTTAACAAAAAAAAAAAAAATCTTAACCACCAAGACAGTAAAAAAACTCAACCCGGGTTATTTAGGAAATAAGAATAGAGTCTTACTTCACACTTATTGATACAGATAAGAGAACATAACACTTTAACAGATGCCAGTTAGACAATGAAGAGATTTTTTTTATTTTTCTATTTTACTTCGGAGGGGGTAAATATGTGCCTAAGTTTTGGAAGATATAAATAGTTGCATTAAAATTCTATCTTGTCTAATCAAAACAAATGTTTCACTATGTTGCAGATTTCCTAATGGAAGGAGGTGGCAACTTCTGACAAGCACACATCTCTTAGTCTAGTTGACAGAAATCATAATGCCAACTTCAACAGTCTTGAATAATGTGACAATAACATTAGGAGAAATCTTATCCTCCTTGAGGGACCTTCTTTTAGTTAAACTAAATACTTGCCACTTTCCAGGTCTAAGCAAGACATCAAACAGGTTAATTTCTATTTAACAGAACATGTACCTCTATCTTCATAACAGGACTTCACAAACACTTTATAGGGAACTGACAAAACCCAGTAGTGCCGGTGCATATAACTAGCAGGATTCCCAGGCGGTTGTGTAGCTAATTATAAATACAAAAATTATGTAGGATATATCACACCATATACACCTATTATAGTATCAAGTTTATATACACAACCACTAGCTGCCACCACATATAAACAAACCATAATGTTGGCTTATACCCAGAACATAACAGACCCAAACGCAACCTCTTAAACAGTTGCTACATATAATTCACCTTAACCAAAACAACTACACAAATAATTCAAAATCAACCCAAGGCCCAAACACAAAACATACTGTAACCAACTAAAACAGTAAACATCAACAATCTCAAACACCAGGCTCAATTTGGAAAGAGTATAAATACAAATATGTACAGTACAAATAGATACAAAATACCAGGTTTTGCACTATATATATTTGTATTTGTACTCCTTCCAAACTGAGCCTTAGTAAAAATTCTCTCAGTAGTCAGTACTAAAAACTCTGGTAATGCAATTTAATTTTTCCAACTTGACAAAGCACATTCTAAATTGTAGTTTACCAGGTTTAAATTGGCTTGAGGAGTGTATTAATTTAACAAAACTACCAAAAAATAGGAAAAAAAACTAAAAACGTTAATTTAGAAAAAGTTTCAGAATACCCATTTAATCTTAAGCATAAAAGAACCATAGACATTCATAGATTCAATATGCAGCCTGATTGGTTAGTCCAATACTCTAACGAGTAAGTAGCACTATAAAGAACAGTATTAAATGATATGTACCTTGGTTGTGTAAACTTTATCTCCATTTTCGTTTATGTAGAACTGGAGATACATGGTCGCAGATCGTCTACCTGTTGAGATTCGAAACTAAGTTTAACAAATCTAGGAACAACCAAAAGGGGGCGGACGAAGACAAGGTTTCAAGTTATTCTAATATAAAAACAGGAAGAGGAAGAAGTTTGCGCTTAGAAAGAAGAAGAGCATAGTTTTAGATCGTATACCTGCTTCTTCCCGTTCTTCAGCCCTAAACCAAAAACCCTACACGAAGTCACGAGTTTAAACCCTTTCCTCGTTTCCCTCTTAATAATACACCCCACAGGTCTATATTTTTTTCCTTTTTTACCCTCTCACTTTACGTGTTTTCCCGGAACCGTTTTCTATTCGTTTTTATATGCAGGGTCCGTTTGGTTCGCAGTCCGAATCGGAATCGAAATCCTCCGGAATGGGAATCGGAATTGTTCATTCCTATAATCTGTTTGGTTCATATAGGAATGGGAATGAGAATTAAAATCAGCAGGAATGGGATTTTATTCCCATGAGAGGGAAGGGAATGGCCATTCCCTCAAATGGGGGAATATCATTCGAGCAGGAATAGAAATGGGATTCTAATTCTGCCCAACCAAACAGTTGGAATCGTAATAACCCATTCCAATTTCGATTCCAGACCCCTATTCCTGTGAACCAAACGGGGCCTCAGATTAGAATTTACTTTATGCATCTTATTCAGATTAGAATTTACTTAACCATCCGATTTATATCGGATTTCGTTGTTAAAAAAAAAAAAAAGAAGTTTCGATTGTGATATTGAAAAAAACTTGCGGGTCACAGGGTGCTTTGATTCGTCAAAGCCAAGGTTTTAAAAACCGACCCAGAAACGGAATCGTTCTAGCTACCAGTTTCTAGGTCAACAGTTTGACCGTCCAGGTTGAACGGTTCAGACGATTTGCATTAACGCAAATAGTAATATACTTATATATGAGAAAGGAGAATTGGAGAAGAAGAAATTGTTGTCGGCTGAGAAAGAATAAAAGAAGAAAAGAAAGAAAGGAAGTAGAAAGGAAAAAAAGGAAAAGGAGACAAAGGAAAGGAAGAAAAGAAAGAGGGAAAGAGGGAAGAAGAAGGAAGAGGAGGAGAATGATTTGATGCTCACCGGCGATGGCGGTAACGACGCAGATGACAGATCTGAGATCTAAGATATGAATTCTCATATCTCAAATATGAGATCGATTTTTCATTTTTTCTCAAATCTCAGCGATTTCTCTACAACTTCTTCTTCTTCTTCTTCTTCTTCTTCTTCTTCTTCTTATTCTTCTTCTTATTCTTCTTCTCTCTCTCTCTCTCTCTCTCTCTCTTTCTCTTTCTCTTTCTCTTTCTCTCTTTGTATCAGATATCATATCTGAGTTCGTGTCTCAGACTCTCAGTTTCTCCCCTCTCTGCAATTTCTTAAGCTGGAAACTGTTATACGGGTCAAATGAGTCGACGGTTCGACCACTTGGGTCATCGGTTTTCTGACGAAGTCAATAGTTTTTTACCCAAGAACGAGTCAGGGGTGAAACGGAACAGGTTGCTTGGACGGTTTTTGGGCCAAACGGTCCAATCGTCTGGGTCAACGACGATTCAAAAACATTAGTCGAAGCTCTTCATATATCATCTATTTTCAGTATGATAGATTTTTCCAAAAAAATATTTATTTCAGATTTCGGTTGTAGGTGGATATTGAATAATGATGAGGGATAATTTGGCCCTCCAATTACATTGCATCACATGGCAAGTTCAAACCGCTTTATGACACTTTGGCATCATATGTGGCCGGACCTTGTTTGATTAGATTGACTTAAGCCACCCTCTACAAATCGAACATCAACCAATGGGAGACCTGCAAATTGCTTGACAATAAACCAAAGTACGTTACCTCGAAGGCATGAGTCGGTGACTCCAGCAATCGACTTGTCTCCCCCAACCCAAGCAATTGATGACCTGCATGACTAGTCAACCTCTAGGGTACCAACCTATGTGACTTGTCCAACCTCACCCATTCACCTCACCTATCGGTTCCGAAATACACGGCAACATGTTGTCCACCTAGCAATGATGAGCCCGGTTCCATCTGCTTCTAAAGGAATTGGATGAGGGTATTGCAACGCCAGTATGACATGCCCCGAAAATGGGCTGATAAAGCTTATCGTTCCTAGATATCTTGGGCCCCGATGCCTATATAAAGGGACCTCCACACCTTAATAAGGTGCATGTGAAATCATGTATTCTCTCTCTCTTTCTCTATGTTTTTACATCCTCTCAACTCAATTAACTTAAGTATTGGAGTATCCAGCCCGAATTCAAAGCCCTGAGTACTCTAATTTTCACTGTCTCACAGATTCGGTCTCTAACAAGAAACCGAAGCGAGTGAGGTCGAGCACCAACAAATAGTATTGATAAATCATACTAAAAATCATCAAAATATTATATAGTATTAACAAAATGAACCAAAATGACTGATAGTGTATATCATGAATAAAATATATTGAAAAAAGTATGAAATATGAACCAACTTATGGTTACAATTAACGTGAATGGAGCATTCTTCGTTGAGACTACCAAGTAGCATTTTAGGGGTGCAATTCGGGTTGGCCCAAGGTGGCATTTTAGGGTTTGAGTTGCGATCAGGATTAGAATATGAGCCGTCTATTCCCAACGCCTGTTTGGTTTAGACAAGAATGGGAGTTGCATTCCAATATTTGTTGTTTGCTTAATTTGGAGTTAGAATCAAAATCAATTAAAAAGTTCTAATTATGTATTAATTTATTTAATATTTTATTATTATTGTTTTATTATTTTGTTATATATATAATTATTTATTAGTAATTTATTATTTAATAATTAATATCTTAGTATTTTATTATTAAATTATTAATATTTTATGAAAATACAATTATTATTTTATTAGCATTTCATTATGAATATTTTATTACAAGTTTATTAATAGTTTATTAGTATTGTTTTATTAGCTAGTATTTTGTTATTATTATTTAATTAGTATTTAATAATTAATATCTTGGTATTTATTAATAATTTATGAATAATTTATTAATATATTATTATTCTATTATTACTTTACCAATATTTTATTACTAGTTTATTAATAATGTATTATTTTAATATTTTTATACTAATTTAATATTATATAATAATTAATATTTTATCATTACTTTAATTATATTATATGAATACTTATTTATTTATTTAATAATAATAATAATAATTATTATTATTATTATTATTATTACTACTACTACTATTAGCGAGGGGGACCAAGGGCAAATGAAAAGGGAAAGGCAAGAGTAATATGGTTTTTCTAATATATATCTCTCTCTCAACTATTTTTTAGAATTTCCAAACATTCATTTGACTGATCTTCATAACAAAACAACAAATGAAAGAAAAAGTTTGTTTTATCTTGTAAATTTTGAAGCTCACATCGTATAAAAATTCTAATGAAAATTAAAAATTAAATTGATGCCAAAAATGATACCTATATAATCTAATGTTTTTGGAGAGCAAAACCATGTTGATAAACATATTACCTAATTATTTTATGGACCTATCGAGCCACCATGGCTGTATCCTATTACAGCTTTTTACAAGACTAGGGAACATTTTCCTTGAAAAACTTCTAAATCCCATTAAATTCTTACTTCCCCTCCCATCCCTCCCAACGCCTTCTCCTTCTCCCTTCCTCCAACAATACACTTGGTAAAATATCTTCCCGTGCATATCATATGTTAAGTTAATTAATTTCACTTAGGCTCCCCATTTAGAAAGAGCATAAATACAAATATGCCTAGTGCAAAATTTTATATATGAATTTCTAAACCTTGTATTTATATTGTACATATTTGTATTTGCACACTCCTCAAATTGAACATTTTTTTAAAAGACTTTATTAATTACTTTTATGTAGACTTGTTCATTGGTCGGATAGGCCAATGGGTTGGCACAACCAGGCCCACTCTTGATTGGGCTTAAACAAAATTTCAGGCTTTCTCAAATTAACTCAATTGAGCTCAGCTCAATAACATTACATATATAGTAAAAATATATAATATATTTATTAAATTATTATTAAATATTGATTTATAGTTTAGGAAATAGGAAATAGTTTATTTGTTTATTATATTGTTATTAAATTAATATAATATTATTTTATTAAATTACACCTAGGTAAGATTTTTCATGTTTTGACCGGGTTTTGGACTTCATATAAGGGTTGGGCTTGGGCTTGGGTTTATTGGACATTTTCTATTAATAAAGAGGCTAAACCCAGCCTGTGAAGAAGTATACTTTAAAGATTTATTAACATTAAATATTGATTTATAGTTTAGGAAATAGAAATTGATTTATTGGTTTATTATTATATTATTATTAAATTAATATAGCTTATTAAATTACACCATAGGTTAGATTTTTTATGTTCAAACTGGCTTCAGACTTCATATAAGGGTTGGGTTTAGGCTTTTGGACATTTTCTATTAATAAAGAGGCTAAACCTAGCATGTGAACAGGTATACTTTAATTGTGAAATTACCATTTGAATTTTTGAGTAATTAATGTAATTTAAGTATGTGATTAAATTAATAATTTTGTTAATTTGCCATGTTTGATCGATTAGGTTAAATTAAATAAACTTATCTAATTAAATTATACTAAATTAATATGCTTAATGTTAGTATTATTGTTGTAATAAAGATGAGAGAGTGATTTGAGAGAGAGCGTAAAAAGCTGACTTAATAAAGGTAAAAAATTTTGGCTATTCTTGGCTTTTAAATGTAGCGTTCAAATGTTAGTGGTGTTGTTGTAATAAAGAGGAGAGAGACTAATTTGAGAGAGAGAGAGACCGAGAGAGTAACAAGATGAGTTGCCTTGATTTAGGTCATGTTTGGGAGTTTTATGTTAAAAATAAGTGTTTATTAAATAAGTACTTAAAAATAAGTGTTTATTCGAATAAGCACTTATTTGCATTTGGCACCTAACTTTTTCTCCAATAAGCACTTAAATAATCAATTGTAACTTTTTTGTCTTTCATTTTTTTTTTCAAAATTTCAAAACATCCAATCCAAAGTGAATGAATAAAAGTACTTTGATAGAAGTGCTTTTATAAAAGTGCTTTTATGAAAGTACTTTGATAGAAGCACTTCATAAAATACTTTTATAAAAGTGCTTTTATAAAAGTACTTTCGTAAAAGTACTTCATAAAAGCACTTTCAAAAAAGTACTTTTACAAAAGTGCTTTCGTAAAAGTGTTTTCATAAA